GGGGAAGTCCCTGCCCCTGGCCAGCCAGGCAGCGGCTTCCCTGCCCAGGGCCTGCTCCACCTCTCCCCATGTGCTGCTTCCCCAAGGACCCCGCGGCAACAACAGAGGCGGGGCCGGGGCTGGTGCCGGCTGAGCCCTCCTTACCCGGCGTAGTGGTTGATGGACGCGGCCAGGGCGTTCCCGGAGCCCGCGGGCAGGGTGCACAGAGGCTTCTGGAGGGCAGCCTGCCAGTCCTGACGCTCCATCAGGCCGTTCAGCACCTGCAGACAGAGCCACACAGCTGGCAGCTTTCCAGAGGGGGCAGCCCCTGCCCATCCCTGGCTGCTGGGGGGAGCCCATATGGTGCCAGGGCTGCCTCCTGGGTGGGCCAATGTGGCCCCCTGCTCTGGCTGCTCATGCCCACCTGGGTCAAAGAAGCGGAGGAGGTTTCAGTGCCACCTCCTGTCTGGTGGTGCCTCCAGCAGCTGCCCAGCCTGGCTCCAGGGCACAAGCAGCAGACCCAGGAGCTATTTGGCCCTTGTGCTGTTTCTCCCTCCCAGCCTCTGTGTGGGACGGGCAGTGGTGTCCCCCAGCCCAGCACAGCGACCACCCGGCCCACACCCTACTGCTGCTCCTCTGTCCTGCCCCGCAACCCCGCCTGCCCCCCCTGCACACGCAGCCCCCTCCCTCCAGGCCTACCCTGCCCTGCCCTTCAGCCCCACCTACTTCCCCTCCAGGGGCTCCCAGGGGACACTGCGCCACCTGTGCTGTTTGTGACTGAGGCGGATACCTAGTGGCCCACCCTTGCTTGGGATGTGAGTCACCATCCACACCCTGTTTGCCACATACACTCCCACCTCGAACGCTGGGGCGGCACCACACGCACACGCACACGCACACGCACACGCTCGCTCTCGCCTTTTGCCCGACTGCTGGGGCGTAAGAGGTCAGGCCCCAGGGAACGGCTCCTCGCCCTGTTGCCAGCATAGCAGCTGCCCATCTCCTCACCTCATAGAGCAGGCCATCCCCGGCCAGGACGACCATGGTGTCCCACTGCGATAAGTCTCCAGCCCGCACCAGCTCCCGGGCGTGATTTGGCTTCTCTGGGGAGAGAAATGCAGAGCTGCTGGCAGGGGCGGCCCCGTCTCACTTAACCGCCAGGTGCCGGGAGGGTCACCGCTCCCTGCACAGTCCTTGGGGCTCGGTGGAGGTAAGGGGGGTACTGGGGGGACCACCAACCAATGCTCCCTGAATCGGAGCCAGCTGGCCACAGCCTCACCTGGGAGCTGGACAAGTGTTAGAGGGGCACCAAGCCACAAGGCAGAATGCTCATGACATGCACCTTGCTCCTGTCAGCCCCAGGAAGGATTCAGGATTCCTGCCAGCTGCTGCCCTCTTCTTCCTGCAGCTCCCCAGGGGGTACTGGGGGGACCACCAACCAATGCTCCCTGAATCGGAGCCAGCTGGCCACAGCCTCACCTGGGAGCTGGACAAGTGTTAGAGGGGCACCAAGCCACAAGGCAGAATGCTCATGACATGCACCTTGCTCCTGTCAGCCCCAGGAAGGATTCAGGATTCCTGCCAGCTGCTGCCCTCTTCTTCCTGCAGCTCCCCACTCCTTCCCCCCCCCGCTCATTTGAATACCGTGCACCCATTGGCCATGTTTCAGCCAGTGGCACTTTAGTTGCACATTACAGTGCAGCACTAGCCGGGATGCTCCCAGCTGGAGCGGTCCACATGTTAACGAAAGGCAGTCAGCTGCTATGCTACAGGGCACAGCCAGCCAGGCAGGGAGAGCCCGGCCAGACAGGAGTCCCCCACCCAGCAAAATACCCTCCCCTCTGCCTGGCAGGAGGGGCTGGCTGGAGGCCACCGGGGCATGGTTACTGCAGCGGGAGCAGACTTACCGGTCACAAAGAGGGTGAGGAGCGGTCCACATGTTAACGAAAGGCAGTCAGCTGCTATGCTACAGGGCACAGCCAGCCAGGCAGGGAGAGCCCGGCCAGACAGGAGTCCCCCACCCAGCAAAATACCCTCCCCTCTGCCTGGCAGGAGGGGCTGGCTGGAGGCCACCGGGGCATGGTTACTGCAGCGGGAGCAGACTTACCGGTCACAAAGAGGGTGAAGGTCATGCCGGCCTCCACCAGCATCGGCTGCACGATGGAGTGGAACAGCTGCAGCGCGCACCCCGTTCCGCTCTGGGGGTTCAG